AGCTCCCACCTACCCCCAGCTTTCAAAAAAAGATCCACTCTGGGTGTCAAACATGCTAGGTAAGCCAGAGGGGCAGCCCCTATTCTTTTGTGGTGAGATTACTGGAAATTGTTTCATGATAGTTCCTCTTTTACCTAAGTGCAAATAAGCGCACTGGACATAGAGAAGGAAGTGAGGATTAGACAGGGTTAACCATGCAAACTGTAATGAGACCCACCCATGACCTGTAAAAATCTCAGATTTTGATCCTTTGATACCTAAGGACAGATACGCATGGGCAAGTGGGGTATCTCATTGCTAGTAGTAAGCAGTAGGCTTGGGCGGTTTCGTTCATTAATTTCATAATTTGTTATTAATTCGTATTTAAATTAGCTTACGATCCAATATTGAGCCATGCAGGAATAGTGTGAGGAGTAAATTAGATTCGAAACAATTTTTTCAATTTATTTCGTAATTATTTTAATTATTTCGTAATTATTTCGTAATTATTTTCGCATGTCTGGTGCAAGTTTTATAGTTGTTGTTTGTTTTATCACACCAACAGTCAACAACAGAGGGAGAGGGAAGCTTCAGAAGTTCCCCCTGTCCCATTTGGAGGTTTTTTTTAGCATATTGCGAAATCGCGGCCGCCATTAACGAATCGATTCGTAATTTACGAAATTTCGTATTTTGAAATTTTTAAAAGGAAAATTTCAGAATTCTTTAAAGAAACAAAATGTGATGGACCCCTTAAAAACGAATCGAGTTTAGAAACAAATTTTTCCGTGGTTACCCAAGCCTAGTAGCCAGCAGCCCTAGCATCAATAAAACAGGGATAAGGAAACTGTAGCCTTCAACATACATGCCCTCCAACTGTCCCAGTTTGAGTGTCCTAATCCTTTCTCATTCCTTTGTTTCAGCTGCTTTTAAAATGTCTCAGTGTTTCTTCTTCCACCCACTTTCCTTTTTAATTGATGGCTTAAACTGCTGCAAAATGAGTTCAAAGAACATAATAATTTCACATTCAATTAGCATAAACCTAAAGAGGAGGCAGAAACTTGTCCTTTCCTGCAGTTTTGGGCAAAAGCAATCTGCTGCAGCTTTTCCTATCTGGTGTGTTCTTCTTCACCAATAACTTTTTCCATTTTGACTACATACATGTCCCAGTCTTCATCTCTGCAATGTTTTACAGTATACCAATATGCTCCACAAGGTCCAACCACTGGGTATATTACCTTGGACTGTTGGAAACTGAAGTCATAGAATC